AAAGGATTGTCTATGAATAAGGTATTTAATTTGGAAAGCATCTGTACCCAAGGGGTAGAGACACCAACAGTATCATTGTATTGTGCAGGTGAAGAGCAGAGGGAAAGCTTGCACTGTGCAAACCAGAGAAGGCTGCAGGTGGAAGTGAAGATGTTTGGTGTTGATAGAGTCAAAACTAAAGGGGGAAAGAAGATGGGTGGAGAGTTCAGAGTTGGACAAAATACTGAGGGGGGAATCATCTGAGTTTGGGTAATAGAATTTAAAAACTCCCTACGAGAATGATTAAAGTCTTAGCAAAACCTTCATGCCCAGATGTCTATAGAAATTGCAAAAGAAAGCCAGAACTAACCATGTAGATATAACAAATCAATTATTTTTAATAAATATATTTAAAAATTAAAGTTTGTACACAATAATTTAAATATGCTTATCTATAATACCCTAGTTTAATGCATATTGGTACCTACCAATACAGGGGAAAAAAAGAGAGAATTCAAAAATAGCAGGTTATTAATCAGAAAATATCACCATCTTATATAATAAAACAAGGCAAACAAAAATCATATATTCTACAAGAGCCCTCCCCCAAAGGTAAAATTCAAAGCATCCTACTCACTTCTGACTATGAGCAAGCACACATTGCCTGTGAAGCAACATACGCATGACAGGATGGGCACATGGCTCCAACTGCCACTACCCAGGTGACAAAATGATCATGCCCATCTCTGTTTATAAACTATTTTATTTTCGATTTAGACTAAAATTTTCTAATCCTTTTAATTTTTAATTCTCTGAAAGTAATAAATATGATCTACCTATATAAGGCCAAGAAGGTGTGACAGAAAAGTGACTAAATGCTGTGAAAACATCCTGCTGTAACTGAAAGCTCCTAAGCTAAGAGTCACAACAGAGGCAGGGGAGACTCTAAACTCTGATCAGGCTCCATGTGTAATTCTTAGGGTGTGGCTAAGTGTGATTTCAAAATGACAAATGTTACATAGAAGAAAATACATTACATAATAGAGAGAAAATAATGTTAACATAGCCACACCTATACATATTTCAAAAATTACTCCATATTTTTGGTTACATTTTAATCCAACTATCTCTAAAGGGAAGTTTAGAGTCTTTCTGGATTTACACTATTATCCAAGTGTGGATTTTTTCTCAACGTACTAGTTAGTTGGTTGATTCTTTCTGTGTGCTACAGTCTCCTGTTGTGCTCTGTTCTTTCCTAAGCTCTGGTCCCCACATTTAGGGAAGGCATAGTTATTAATGCTACCATGGCTTCGCCCCTCCTGGACCAATCTATTCTGTCCAAGCCAGGCTTCCTTAAAAATAATTAAGTCAGCTCTTCTAGGCAAGACATTAAGGGAACTCCAAGCAACATGGAATGAATGGGTCAGGAGCACATGAATAAAAAGATACCAATCCATTCCCAGGAATAGACTCAAATCATACACTTAAAGATAGGTGGGACAGTGGGATTATGCTAAAAGAAAATACATGAAAACATATTTCTAAAGTTCTCAACAATGATCAACTATCATTGCAAATATTAAAAATTACATGATGTTATAGAAAGTTTTGTATGCTTTTTTTAATTTACTATTTGAAGATAAAATGTCAGAAGGCTGCCCTAGTCAGAGATAATTTAGGAGATCTTTAAAATTTTCAGTTCTATTGATGTGGGAAAATCTATCAATGAATGTTCATTTTGAATGGCAAATAACATGTTTTACTATATTATGGTTTTGTCAAGCTTTTAACACTCAAGAGCCACATAACACCTGCATAATAGAGGCCTGCAGTCACTTATCACATTTCTGTACATTTCTTTTACAGGGAAAAAGACAAGAAATCTTAAGCATCAGATTAAACACAACAGCAGTTAATTTTTAACATCCATCAGGTGAAAAGGCTAGAGCAGAAAATTTTCAGCAATGATGTTAGACAAATGGGTCTAAAGTGAAATACATAAGCTTCTTCAAAGTGTTGATTTTGAAGGCTGACTTGACCAGATATAAAAATAGATGGTTAAAATGTAAAAATCAATTCTAATGGCAAACAGATTACTGCACTCTCCATGCCCAGGATATTAGGAAAACCTGAATATTTGATTTAGTACCACCTGGGGAGTAGGCAGACCTGAAAAACCCTCCAACAACCTTGAAAATATCCACTTTCTCTATAAATGAGTGCTCAGATCAGGCCACACCTACCCAGCCCCCTTTTGTCCCTTCAAGTACAATGACTAGAAGGCATCAGACAACATTGATCACTGTAAGTGGGTTGTCTTTCCCAAGAAGCAACCAACAAGTGAGGAGGTGGGTGCGGGGATAAGACTTCTGGTCTTCCAAGGAGCTCTCCTCTCTTACAGTCAGAGCAAAGTTCGAGGTCTCTGTCCTTCACCTTTCCCTAGGTTAGCTTTCCACAAGTTGAAGCAAGGCTCCAGGGACCAGGATGGGGTTTGGGGGAGGGGCAAGAGACTCGACCCTTGTAATACACCCTTGTAGACAGCAGATCACAACACCTCCACCCCAACCCCCAGCCCCGCGCACAACACAAAGGCAGGTCCTGGTTAGCCTCTCTGCGCCCAGAAAGCGCCTGGAAATCCAGAGAAATGAGCTGGAAAGGGAAGGCGGTCAAGGATCCTCCTGGCCGGGCCTACTCCAGTTGTCCCAGGAGCCAGACAGCAGGACAACAGGCAGGCAGGGTCTGTCATCTTTGAGTCCCTAGAAGCAGATCCAGTAAGATCCGGACAGCTGAGCGCACGTTCGTGTCTTTTTTCGGAGCAAGCCTACTCACGGCCCCAGCATACCCGTGTGAATATTGCGCGGGGCCCACGGGGTCCTTGAACAAAGAGAGGGGGTAGAGGGAAGGTGCTGGACTCAGGATCCCCTTTGCGGGACATTGGTGCCTGATCCGCCCAGCGCCGCTGGGAGCCTCCCTCCGGGCTGCTTTGGAGCCGCCTACTCAAGCCTTGTGCCCCGGGGCGCCTCAGCTGGGAATGCGGCACTCTCAGGCCCCTCTGGAGGGTAGAGCTCCACAGTCCAACTGAAGGACCACCAACCATTAGTCAGAATGACAAGGCCTCAAAACCAGTGGCTGCGGAGCATCTGGGGCAGGCGAACTGCAAGAGCCTACGCCCGGCAACCAGTGGGTAAATCCTTTTGTTCTTTCACTGAACTAGATGTGCAAGTCACAGAGTGGACCGAGATGGCTGCAGGCAACCACCAACCTAACTGTTCTGGCAGTCACCGAGAGCTGCGACCAGACGATGAGGGGAGGGGAAGGGGAAGGGGGGGAAGGGTAGGGGGAAAGGGGGCTATGGGAGGAAGAGTGTGCCTTCTGATTCTGGTGACATTCTTCAGGCATCCTCCGGGAGCTTCTGGGACTGACAACCACAGGTCGGACTCACACTGAAAGCTCCTTGTTAACTTTGGTACTAGCTTCCATTGGGCATACAATAATGTGCCTGGCGCTTCAGGTAACACAGACGGTCCCCAGACCAGGACTTAAGACCTGTGTGTAACGATCCAGAAGTAGCCCGGCCTGGCCATGTTTTCTCTCAATGGTTTTCCAAAGTCCTTTTTCTTCTAACTGAAACTAGCAGAAAAAGGGATCCACTTGCACTTCCTGGAAGTTGCACTCCTCAACTACGTGCGTGATTAGTAAGGGCAAAGATCCCTGCAAAATGGTCCTGCCTGGAAACTCAAAGGGCACACTAGAGGCCAAGGCCAGCGTGAGCACGCTGGACCCTCCTGCTCCGCGAGCACCCTGCCATGCCACAGACTATTTCCAATCTAAGAGCCTTCTCCAGGTTTTCCGCGGGTTTCCTGCGCTGGCGTCCCACAAACACTAATCTTGCTCATCCAGCGTGTTAATACCGATAACAAAATTCTCCCTGTAGCTGAGATCACTTCTCATAAAACATGATAGAACCCCTCTTTAGATTGATTACTTGCACAGATAAAACAATATGTGTGTGATGTTGAGTCCTCAATCTCTGGCAAAAGCAAAAAGGTAGCCTTTTCTGCAAAGGCCACACTCTTTGTAAATACAATTGCTACTTGGTAAAAGATACTGTTTTCTAGGTGTGCTGTGGAAAAGGGGAAGTAAGGCACTGTCAGTCATTCTTAGGAGTGGGTTCTAATCTAATGGGCACCGTTTATTAGGGAAAAAACACAGTATCTCTCTTTCCAAGCATGCCGCCAGTGTAGACATTACACCCAGTTGCCCTAATACTCTCCCAGCCCTATAGAAAGAGTGAAATCCTTGAATGGGAGTCCAAGTAGCTCTCTCAGGATCCTCCCAAAATCCTCGCCCGTCCTGGGGAGAGGTGATCCCGATTTCGATCCCTTTAAAAACCTGGAAGGGCAGGAGCCTGTTGGGCAGGACTGGGTCTCGGTCGTCTAAAATGTCAGCATCTAACACTTTTGATGTAGGGCTTTGGTAGAAGTAAAAGAAAGTTAACTTCAGGGCACTGTTTTCCTGTACTTCTTCCGTCACAGTTCTGGGATATGGGGGAGAGATGGCCTTGGTACCTTCTGGATGCACCGTGTGCTATGTGCATCTGGGGACAGGGGGAGGAGGGGACTCTAGTACGATCCAGCAATGCACCTGGGAAGGGGGTCTACAACCACCTTCCAGTCAGATCTGCATTCTTTGTGTACAGTGAGCTCTCCACTAAAGAAATTCACGTGTGACTAAATTTAACACAGTCTCCAGCACATGCCTGTCCGGTCTCCCGGACTCTGCAGCTGGGCGGTTAAGAGAGCCCCGGATCGTGCGCCCCAGCGCGGGAAATGAGAGGGCTGGGATGTTGTACTAGGGACAGTGCGCATCTGACTCTGTGGCCCTGGGACCGCGGCACAGGCTTCCCGAACCGGGTCCCTAAGTACTAGAACCCTTAACTTTCGATTGACTGGAAGCCCGCCCCCATCCCTAGGCGCCCCTTTCACCCTCCCAAGTAACCTCAGTGAGTGGACCGCACTCACCTACTGTCAGGCAGATGGGGAGCAGCAGCCTGAAGATGAGCCCGCACACCACTTCCGAGGCCATCGCGACAGTCGGGCGACTCCGAGTAGAGAGGCAAGGCTAGAGGGTACCTAGAACCGAGGTGCCGGGCCCATGCCCGCCTAGGGCCTCCTGCTGCCGGCGGCTCGCAGCCGCTCGGTCATCGCCTCGGCGGGGGCCGCCGCGCAGTCGGCACCGAGGGCTCGCACGGGGCTCTTGGCCGATCCTCAACCACCTCTAGACAGCCCCCTCACCAGATGCCCGACCCCCCACTGCCGGCCCATGAAGTGTAGTCTCCCCAGTCCAGTGGCAGCGGCTTCTTCAGCGGGTGGCTTAGTCGGGAGCCCCGAGCGGAGGCACTTTGGGAGGGTCCTGGAAGGCGGCCCCGCGAGGAAAGGGGGCGAAAAGGACGTGCTATGATTTTGCCTGGCTTCCGAGGAGTCGCTCAGGGGCAACAGGGGAGTTTTCTTTCCGGAACCCCGTCTGAAGCCGACGTGCCTCAGCAACAGGGCCAGGCCCTCTGCCCACGCAGCCTGCTGCGCGACCCTCGGCCAGGGCTCTTGGAGCTGCCTGCCGGCCCCCGAGCGAGCGGCGCCGCGGCGGTTTTCCCGGCGACGGTGTGGCTCAGCCTCTGCGCCTCACAGTTTCGGGCTGGAGAGACCCCGGCGGGAGCTGCCAGGCGCGCAGAACCATCCCTCTGTCACCAGAAAAGAATTGTGCGAGCGTGGGCAGAAATCGAGACGACACTCACAAGGAGTGGGTCAGGCTCCAACTCCCTCCTCCACCTCCACGGCCCCAATTTTAAAAAATAAAATAAAAACCCAACACTGCCCAGATGCCAGCGCGCCTCCCGCCCTCCACGGTGCAGCCTCGCCCTGGTGGCACAGCCCCGGCTACCCGGGGGCGCGCACTTCTCCACCTTCAATGAAACTTTCGAGGCCCCTCTCAGGGACAGGCGTGCCCCGGGGCCAATGGGAACCGCGACTCTGTAGCCGGCGCGTGGGAATCCCGCCCCTGCGTGAATCTCGAGGCGGGCCCAGAGCCTGGGCGCGGGGGGCGAGCCTCCAACCCTCCCACCGACGCGTAGGGAAATGCGTAGAGACAGGCTCCGCCACTCCAGTCTACTGGACTTGACGCTTCTACTCCGCGGTGCTCTGCGCCCTCCGCCAGTGCTCCGAGCCCTCCACCACTGCTCACTCTGGCAGACCCGCAGCTCTGATGGTTTCTGTCATTCTGCAATCATAGAAGGCACACAACCTGGCTTTCTGTCATCAGAGCGCCCCTGAACCTATCCAAACCCAAGGAACCTTGTAATGTGTATGCACAGGCGCAGCAGGAACACAGTCAGGGTTTGAACAAGTTTGTAGAATCACACTTACCCACTTGTATTGATTAAGGAGAATAGAACCAGACCAGTGACTCTATCCACCTTTAACCTTGCGAGAACTTTCAACTCTGAATGAGCTCTGGGAAATCCTAGGTCCTTCCATGAATGGGCATCACTGTTCAGATGTGCATCTACTTTATACATTTGGCGAAATCTTGTTTTTATCTCCGGTTGTTGTGTTGTTTGTCATGGCTCTGGAGAAAGGGCATAAAGTCCCCGTTTCTCCCGATAACCTCCTTTTTTGTTGTTCTCTAAGTGAGATCTAGAAAAATCTGGCTCTAGCTGGGAGAGGTAAGTATGCTTGGGTCCCTTATTTTAAAATCATCCAAGAATGGGGGAAATGTGCTGAAGCACATGGGTGGGGATCCTTGGGACCAGAAAGCAGATGATCTTCAATCTGTAGAGAGGACCATTCAGAACTGTCATTTACATCAAGAGAACAGAGAAGGAAGAATTTTACTTCCATTTTGCACAGCATTCTGGGCTAGTATTTGTCTGAGACTATGGATGAACAGTATGCAAACCTTGACTCTGTCAAGCCATGGTCCTTGTTGCCAATTCAACACCAACAGAAATCTCCAATTTGGTGTGTGGTGGAGAAGGAAATTTTATTTAGTGCAAAACAGCTCAATTGTGATACAGCAAGGCTGTGAGGTAGCCCTGGGGCCAGGACCCTCTTGGGCTAGACAGCCTTTCTCTGCTCCCTTCTGGTGAGACATCATCTTCTGTGCTTCAGCTCAGCCAGAAAGAGGCAGTCTTCAGTGGAAAGGGAAAGTAGGGTTGGGGGAAGCTGGCTTATATATGGACAGAAGTCCCCATCCCTGGTCCCTGATTGGTTTCATGCAAATGAAGACTCCAAATCTTCATAGTTTGGTTGGTCCTAAAAGCACTCTTCTGGTTGTCAGAATAGAGCTGCTCTTATTGGTTGGTCCTGCACAGCTCTGATTGGATGGGTAAAACCTGGGTCCTAAGCTTTGAAACAGGATTCCAGGAACTCCTTTATAAAGATTGGTGTAGATGGCAGAAACACAGCGCAGATAGCAAATCGGTGTAAAGGCCAGCAGTTCCGCATAGAGGCAGGCAGTTCAGCACAGGCTTCATTGTGAATTGTAGTTTGCATGAAAGGCCCCTGTACAGAAAAGGCTGCTAGGCTCTACTTTAAAAAAAAAAAAAAAAAAAAAATAGCCCAGTTAGCTACCAGGAACCCTTCTTAATAAGTGTCATTTTTTCCTCAGGGTTCACACTTCTATGTGCTTACCTTCCTTTTTTGAGATACAATAAGCTTGTATTTTGAGTTTATGTCTTTACAAATTCTCTGAGAATGACAAATGAACTATGAACTATTGTTTTTTTGTTTGTTTTGTTTTGTTTTTATGAAGACTGGAGGTAGTGAAATCCTGTAGAGACACCTTAAAACTTAGACTGTCTCTGTGTTCTGGAGTCCTCAAGAAGCTTAGATATGTAAACCCCAAATAATCATAAACCCAACAGTAGGGCTAGATATGATAGAAACTTAAATTATTAGCAAGTTATTGACTACTATCAGGAAATGTCTTGTGTTTTGTAGAAGCCTGACATAAATCTGCACCCATTTTCCCAGCAGTATAGCATTTTGGTGTTCATAGGTGGTGTTGTCTCTCTCTCTCTATGGTACAACTTGTTTGGGGGACCTAATTAAAGCCCTCCTAATTTTTAAATAATATTGTATCATTACTGGAATCATTGTTTTTCTGAATATATTGTCATGTTCTCAGTAGGTTTCCCATATTAGATTTCTTCAGAATAACTTTATCTTGGATGCCTAAGAGACATAGCAGATAAATGACCTTACCACACATACTTTTTGCTTACTCTGCCACCATTATATATCAATTTAGCTGTTTAGTTTTTCAGACATTTTAATACCTGGATCTTATTTCTTAATCTTACAAACACATATACTGAAGGAGTTTCAGTTGTCCGGACTACACCTATATACGGTCTTCTATTCTGGCTGTTTGTCACAGTTACCTAGAAAGCTTTTTGTTGGAATAGAGAACTACTATCCGCATTCACATATCATACTTAAGGCAACATGCCATTGTTTTTCAAAATTAGCATCACCAAAACAAATCCATCTTTCTGGAACTGCATTTTCACACTGGGGTTGACACAAGCATGCATATCAGTAGCCAGTGGCATTGTCTCTACAAGGGCTGTGTTACCCTAAAATTTCCCTAGTCTGAAGAGCAGCATTTGGTGTCTAGATAGATTTGTTTTTATTGCATGTTATAGGTTTTTTTTACCTATTGGTTTTAGAGAGAGAGAAAGGAAAGCAGAGAGAGAGAGAGAGAGAGAGAGAGAGAGACCATAAATTTATTGTTCCACATATTTATGCATTCATTGATTGATTCTTGTATGTGCCCTGACCACAATGATGCTCTAAGCAACTGAGCTACCTGGCCAGGGATAGACAGATTTGTTTTTGAGGACTGTCCAGGCTACTAGGATATTGGTCCCATTGTTCAGGAGTCCTGCTTGCCTAGTGACCTTCATCCTCAATCTGAACATGATCTTACCCAAAATCTGGCATGAGGTAGAAAATGCTTCATGAAGAAAATCAACTACATGGAATACTCAAAGACATATTATTTTGACATTTGCTGAATATCCAAAGCATATGACCACAAGTTTAGCACAAGTAATGAATTAAGCAGCAGTCACCCTCTGTCTTTCTACATCTACAAGGACAATGGATGGCTTCTTTTTATCATTATTGATATGTTAGTGACTTAGATTCTTCGTCTGTAAATTCAGGAAAGTAATCAAACTTGTCTAATATGGGTTGCTATATAGCTTGAAATAATTTATAGAGTGCTTTAGAGAATTGTCTGCTGCAAAGTAATAATTCAATAAATATCAGCTGTTGTTGCTGTTGTTAATCATTAGAAAACTAGGACTGGTCCTACATTTCTGAAACTGTTATGTTAAAACACAACAGCCTGCTCTTATACTCAGAAAGACACACTGGCTCATTGTAATATGTTTAAAAATTGTGGCACAGTTGAGTGATAGATATTCCTAAATGTTTGAGTTTTAGCCATAAAAATAATGTCACTTTATGCCTTAATGGATTTCATCTCACCTATTGAGTGTTTATCTTTTCTGAACTTGGTTTAATACTATGCTGTTTGACAAAATCATTCAGAAACACCATCTTTGTTCCAAATGATAATTTTCTTTAATATGCTCCATATGCAAACACAAAGTTAATAAATGTTTCTAGTCTCATGTCAATTATAATTTTCTCAAATATTTTTTTAGCTTCCTTTGGAAGAACTCAGGGGTGTCTAAATGGTAGCTTTACAAAATGGTACTCCCAAAGGAATAAAAAAATGCGTCAACTTGGCATTTTCTTCTCACATTGAAATCTACCAAAATCCCTCAGCACCATCTAGCCTGTAGGTACAGTGATGCCTCTTGCCAACCTGAGGATGTTTTCTAGCATTGGTAATATGTTCTTTTTACATGTATACTAATATAATATTTTTAGATATATACATTTCTATGTTTTCTTTTATAAGTAGCAATATTTGTTTAGAGGTTATTTGTGTTAGGAGCCATATAGTTGTTGGATCTTAAATATGTTTTGATTTTGTTTTTTTAATTATTGCTTTTT